TGTTAGCCTCACCTGCCTCCTCTGTAATCAGGACCGGCCTCAAACCTGATGTCTTTGCTTTGAGGTGTGAATGAGCTGACCAGCTTAACCGTGACGGGCTCCTGTGAGGTCACCTGACGCTCCAGCAGGATCTCCATCACCATCAGGTTGGGGTAGTGTCGGTGAGAGTACAAAGACTGTGTGGCAGTGGCGCTAGCGGAGCTCAGAGTGTGAATAAAAATGCCTGCACAAGAACAGGAGAGAGAAGTATGAGACCAGATCAGCAACAACACCATGGAGAAAACACCTGCACAGGAGAGTCTACCTTTGTGGGTGTCCAGGCTGTAGGTATGTTGGACAGGTTCCTCTAGCTCCACCTTAACAGCTAGAGGGCAGGGGACATCTGCTCTGTGGCAGCGCCCACCCTCCCCATTATAAACGCCCCCCATGTGCATGATATTATTGTACACCCTCCAGCCCAGGTGGCCATTCGCAAGCGGAGGGAGGAAGCGGAGGTCACTAGGGAGGGTGTCGGTGGTGAAGATATAAGGGTCCGAGTCACAGGACATGATGAGGAGATTGCCTTCACTTTAAAGGCTCAAATCAAACCAAGAAGTCAGGAAGTTTTCACCTAAATGATAAAAATGTTTGATTTGGAGTGAAAAGCCATTAAGATTAACAATGCAAACAAACATAAGACAGATCTCAAATACTTTTTTCCTCTGTGGACCTGGACCGTCTATTTTTCACAGGTTCACGTTAGTAAGATCATTTGCAGAGTGTAGACTTTGACACTTATGTGTCACAAGCCATGCCTAAATATAACCATAAAATGTGTCATGCAGACAGTGGTTGAAATTTAGCAACGCAAAAACAAAAATACACAAATAAAGATAAAATGTCCCCTTATCAAGTAAAATCATGGTTTCAAACACATTAAAGTTAAAGCTCTGTCGCTGCTGACAGCAGCATGCACAAACACATACAGTAAGTCCTTAAACTCATTACTTAAGTGGGAATGTTTTATTCTCACGTGAGAAGGAAGAAGCATCAGTTTCTGTAACAAAGAAGAATGCAGGAAAACCAAAGTCCAGGCGAGACCCGGACGAGATCCCAAACCGCTTGTTCTTTAGGGCTCAACTCATAACCCAAAACAAAACAAAAACAAACAAACAAACAAAACAAACCCAAAACTTTATGTGCTTTAATTTGTTCCAGATTTCATATCTAGTGCACTCGAACGTTGTGGGTGAAGTAGCTCAAACTCATTTTGTAGTGATGGGTTGTTCGCGAACGAAATGGCTCTTAGAGCTGGGTCTTTGACGTGAACGACGCGAGCCGGCTCCTTATCGCGAGCCGTCACGTGGTTTTTTTTTTTCTTTCTCTCA